CTCTCTCCTCCCTCTCTCTCCTCCCTCTCTCTCCTCCCTCTCTCTCCTCCCCCTCTCCTCCCTCTCTCCCCTTTCTCTCTCCTCTCTCTCTCTCTCTCCTCTCTCCTCCCTCTCTCCTCCCCCTCTCCTCCCTCTCTCCTCCCTCTCTCCTCCCTCTCTCCTCCCTCTCTCCAGCCCGACTTACACCACTTTTAATGCTCAGTGTAACCTGTGCAGAGGTGAAGCTCAGCCAACATTTGTCTAATGGTCAGTCCAAGATCTTAGCAGGGAAAAGAAAATGGGCCCATGAGCCCCTCTGGGGAGGGTTAAACTAATGTGATGCACAGTAGGACACAGATTATCAGAACACACTTACCCAGCTGCCTCTTGATGGCTGGTTAGACTATTTCCAGGGCTTAAACACTGTAATAGATTTCCTTACCAAACACGTCATTCATAAACTAGTACTTTCTTTCGCTCCAGCACTGCTGTGTAAACCCTGAGGACAGATACACGTCCCTGAGCTTCCACTGTGGCCCCCATACAGGGATTATTTAAATATCTGGAAGATCACACTGACTAAATCACATTATTCAGTAGCTGGAAAGGAGCGTGTCATCCGGGCAATGACTGGCTTTCAGGAGACTCTAAATCAGCTGTTCTCAACCTGTGGGTCAAATGACCCTTTCACAGGGGTTGCATATCAGATATCCTGCACATCAGATATTTACATTATGATTCACGACAGTAGTAAAACTACAGTTATGAAGTAGCAACAAAATAATTTCATAGTTGGGGGTCACCACAGCATGAGGAACTGTATTAAAGGGTTGTAGCATTAGGAAGGTTGAGAACCACTGTGAAAAAATTATCATTATGTGTGTATGTACTTCCACGGGCATGATGTGTGTGTACAGGGATGTGTCGTGGTATGTGCTTTTACCTTCTGGGCCATTTCATTGACCCGAGATTCTAATTTCTTTAAATAAAGAAAAGAACATATTTTAAGACCGTATTTTTACCTTTGAGATTTTCACACACCCATACAGTGTATTTTGATCATATCCACTCATCATTCCTCCCCAAACTCCTAAAGACGGCCCCCACCATTTTGTTCTCTCTCTTTCTCCCTCTCTCTCTCTCTCTCTCTCCCTCTTCACTCTAGATCTTGAGACGCAGGACTTTGTGTCTCCTTCCCCCATTTCCTCCCCTGACACACTCCCTCCAATTCTCTGTTTTCTAAGCCCTGAATCAGGTGCATGTGGTATTTTTACTGTCTTGGGCACCTGGTTTTGGCCTTTTGTGGTTTTCAGCTTGGGTCCGGAAATAGTCCTGGCTTGCCTTTGAACCCCTGACGGTTAACTTGAGGTTTGCTCACTGCCGCCCTAACCCCTCACAGTGCCCAGCAAGCTGTCAGGAGAGGCAGTCTTTTGAAGGAGGAGCTGGAGGACCTGAAGGTTACCATGGCTGTGTCAGAAGAGCAGAAGACCATGGTCGTGGCCCAGAAGAAGCAGTTAGTAAGTCATCAGATGGGGCAAGATTCGCATGGAGCACCTGTGGCTGAAGTAGGAGCATAAAAGGCTGGGGCTGGGCTTAGGGACAGCGCACTTGTCTGCATGCAGAACTCGGTCCATTCCCAGCACCTTGTGTTCTTGCAAGTGTACATGTGTGTGTGCGTACACACACACACACACACACACACACACACACTAGCATACAGGCATACAATTAAATGTGAGAGAGAAAAAAACCTTTAAAAAGTTGTTTTTCTCTCCAAGATTAAAATTCTTAACCAGATGTTGACTCATGCCTATAATCCCAGTACTTAGGAGGTGGAGACTGGCAGGTGAAGGGTTCAAAGTCACCCTCAGCTATATAGTGAGTTCAAAGCCAGCCTGGACTAAATGAGACCCTGTCTCAAAAACCAACAAATTCTTCATAGATGTCTCAGTCATACGTGCTGGTCTGTGGAAATGTAGCAATCCCTGGATTATTTCCCAAAGTTTGTAGGTGAATTCATAAATATACCAACTCAATTGAATTAAAAAAAAGAAATTGTCACTTCTGAGTGCTTTACAGGTCACTAGGCAGCTTCCTGAAGCCACAGGAAATGAGCCAGGCAGTGGTTGAGAGCAAAAGTCATTCTACCTAAGCCTCTGCCCAAATGCCGGATGTCCACAGTCGTATAGACCTTGCTAACAGCGGGGAGGGGCCAGTGAGAGTCATCCAGACTTGTCACTCTCTGTACGTCATGGGGACTCTCACTTTCCAGAGTCAGTCATTTGTGACTGCTGTAAACCAGCAGTGCCGTGGGCTTATCACCTGCTTGAAGCAGATGTGGAGATGAACTGGTGCCAGGTCCTGTGTGACAGGAGGGACTCTGCAAAAGCATTCCAGAGGAGGGGCCTAACTGGTGTGGTGGGACAAACACTCGGCCAGCTGAAAAGCCAGTCAAAGCACTGGGAGATAAAGGAGAGACTGTTCGATAGCTTGGGACGGTCCTGCTAATGCTCAAGGAGGACCAGCCACATCAGAATCTCTGGTGGTTTATCTAGAACACTGTAATCTTACACACGTTTCATCTGCAGGGGGCTTTTAGGCCTCTACCCCAGCTTATTTTCTAAACAAAGAAGTGAGACACATAGTTTCAGTCATCTTCAGCAGGGATTTGCTCTCTGGGCAGCCAGCAGCCAAGGCCATTTAAAAAGAGGCAATTTGGCCGGGCGGTGGTGGCGCACGCCTTTAATCCCAGCACTCGGGAGGCAGAGCCAGGTGGATCTCTGTGAGTTCGAGGCCAGCCTGGGCTACCAAGTGAGTCCCATGAAAGGTGCAAAGCTACACAGAGAAACCCTGTCTCGAAACCCCCCCCCCCAAAAAAAAGAGGCAATTAGACAAACATTTACTTCATCTGATAAGAGGAGAAGATGAGCAAGCAGCACTAATAAGCAGGTTTTAAATTCCAGCAAACTTAAATTCCAGTGACATCAGAAGTCCTGGTCCTTTTCTCTCTCTAAACTGTGCAGACAAAACCTACCAGTGAGCCACCTGTCTTCAAGTTACAGTTGAGGAATGACCAAGGCACAGAGCCCTTTAGAGTAATTACTTATTTTTATGTAACAATATTTTCTGAGTAAGCTCATAAATAATGAATGTTACAGCTTGGTATTTTACCTTTCCCCTTCACGGAGAGATGACAGCAGAGCCCTAGGGCGTCACTGTCCATGTGCACACTTGGCTTCGAGGGGACCACTCTACCCTTCCTGGATGAAATGCAGGTGGCAGTCACTCCCAAGAAGGACAAAAAGCTTAACATGTGTCCAGTGTCCATTTCTCTCCTCTGATGTCCAGTACCAAGAAGTCCAGTGTTAGAGACATAGAATTCTAACCCTTTGCATTTTATACTGTTTTATAATCTCAAGAGCATATTAAATATATTTCATAAGTAATCACAGACATTCTATGAGATGGAACTAGAAGTCACCACAGCTGCCTCTACATGTATTTAAAATTTTACTAGAGTGATAAGATTTGGATGGCAAATTTAAAGCAATTGTGGGCTATAGAGCAAGACCTCAAATGGGTGGGTGGGTGGGTGGGTGGATGAATGGATGGATGGATGGATGGATGCGTAGGTGGGTGAATGGTGGATGGATGAATAGTTGGGTGAATGGATGGGTAGATGAGTGGATAGGTGGGTGGATGATGGCTGGGTGGGTGGTTGGGTGGATGGATGGGTAGATGAGTGGATAGGTGGGTGGATGATGGTTGGGTAGGTGGATGGATGGGTGGGTGGATGGATGGGTGGGTGGGTAGATGATGGATGGATGGTTAGTTGGGTGGATGGATGGGTAGGAGATGGTTGGTTCAGTGGATGAATGGATGTTTGGTTAGGCGGGCTGATGGATGGGTAGTTGGTTAGATGGGTGGGTCGGTGGGTGGATGGATGGATGGATGGATGGATGGATGGACAGATGGTTAAGTGGGTGGGTAGATGGGTTGGTGGGTAGGTGGGTGGATGGATAGTTGGTTAGGTTGGTGGGTGGATGAATGGTTAGGTGGATGAATGGATGGATGTTTGGTTAGATGGGTTGGTGGATGGATGGATGGATGGATGGATGGATGGATGGATGGATGGATGGATGGATGGATGGGATAGGTGGGTGTGTGGATAGATGGATAGAAAATACTTCCAGGGTGTCTCAGTGTGACAGGGGAATGCCAGAATAAAAGCAAAGGAAAAGCTCACCAGCACAATAGCCTTGGAGGCTAACTCTGTATAATTTTCATAAAATTCTTAATTTTAATATTTTTTTCAGGAGACAGAAGTCAGGACTCTGATTCTTAAGGTTCGGGCTCTCCAAGAAGAGGTTTGTCAAAACCAGTAAACACTGGAGGAGACAAGTTGGGGCACATGTGGTCAGGACTCTGAGTGAAGAGCATGGTTCTCCAAGTCCCTCTACCTCAAACTTACAGGGTGATTTTTCAAATGATAGGTGATGAATTATAGATAGGGTCTCCCTATCTGAACAGAAATACCTTATTACTTCAAGTAGCCATGACAAAAAGTGAGATTTTAAACGGTTCTCTCCTTCAGCCGCATGAGCTGCTGGGATGGAACTTGCAATGTCAGGCTCACTTTTGGAATTTGGGTTTTTGTGTTTTGTGTGTGTTTGTTTTTGTTGGGGGGGGTTAAAATCTAAAAAACACTGTCTTTTAAACTAGAATATTAAGAATGTCATGGACATAGACTCTCTGGAAAAGAAGATTGAGGAATTATCTGAAACCAAGAAAGAGTGTCAAGTAAGTACCTCCCAATGCCATTTTCTTGGGTCAAATCGATATTCTAGGTGTGTGTGACATGCAACACCACAACCAAAGCTCCCAGTTCTGAAATTCAGGTGCTTCAAGATGCCCGAATCCCAGACAGGGGAATTTCTCTCATTCTGTGTTCTGGAATGAAAGAATTTTAGCTTTAGGGACACATGGTTCAGCTCTGTGAAGTTATCTTCTCACATGACAGAAGTCAGTGGGCTTTGCTATATTCACACAGCTGGGAACTCTCCCCGGGACTGAAGTTAAATTCTCTTCACATCTCCAGAAGAGAACTCTTTATTGTTACTATCGTTCCAAGCAACTATTAGTCAATTTCCTGTTCATTCTGTACTTACCTATTCTGGATTCTTGACATACGTGATTTGTCATAATGTCTTTCATGACTGGCTTCGTCGTTTGTGGTGTTCAAAACATTTATACACATTATAGCATATTCTAGTACTTTTTTGATGAATATTATTCCGTTGAATGCTGTGGGATGGTCTGTATGGCAAATTGCCCTGATTGGTCAATAAATAAAACACTGATTGGCCAGTGGCCAGGCAGGAAGTAGGTGGGACAAGGAGAGAGGAGAATTCTGGGAAGCGGAAGGCTGAGGTAGAGAGACACTGCCAGCCGCCATGACCAGCAGCATGTGAAGACGCCGGTAAGCCACCAGCCACGTGGCAAGGTATAGATTTGTGGAAATGGATTAATTTAAGCTATAAGAACAGTTAGCAAGAAGCCTGCCACGGCCATACAGTTTGTAAGCAATATAAGTCTCTGTGTTTACTTGGTTGGGTCTGAGAGGCTGTGGGACTGGCGGGTGACAAAGATTTGTTCTGACTGTGGGCAAGGCAGGAAAACTCTAGCTACAGTTGAATAAAAATGTCGCATCCTATCTACTTCAGTTAACAGCCAGTTGAGCCAGCTCCATTTCTTGACTCGTAGAGTAATGTGGCCAAAAGCATTTGTGTACAAGTTTTCATGTGAATATGTTTCCATTTCTCTTAGTTCTATCGTAAGAGCAGAGTTACTGGTTCATGTGGTCATTCTGAGTTTAACATTTTGAGGAATGTCCCTTTTTCCAGAGCAACTATTCTACTGGCGATCCACCACCAGCACTTCAGGAGGGGCTGGATTTTTCTATATCCTTGACAATATTTGTAACTTATCATTTTTATAATAGTAACATTCCTTTTCCTTTAAAAAATATGATCATAGTACTCATTTTTAATCTTTAATTTTTGAGACCAGAACATTTACCTTGTGACCAAACACTGAAATCCTCAAGATGAGCCAGATGCTGCAGCCACTGCCCTCTTGGGTTGAGGCCTTGCCCCTTCATGGAATCTGTTTGTCTGTGATAGACGGTGCTAAGGAACCTCGCTCTCCCAGTCCCAGTCCTGTTCCATCCCTTTGTCTTAGCACTCCAGTTGTACTGGGTCTTGCTCTGACAGGGTGGCCTTGACTGCCACTGATGGGGTAGCCCTGACTGCCACTGATGGGGTAGCCCTGACTGCCACTGATGGGCTAGCCCTGACTGCCATCAGTGGACTTCTGCAGGTGGCAAACTTTAGAGCCTTAACACAGTGAGTCTCATTGCAACACTTTCCAAACAATGACATCTGCATCGTTCTTTCTGCCACTGAAGCCAAAAGTTATTTTATTTTAAATGATGCATATATATGTGGGGAAGCCTGCCCCTCCTGGTGGAATCCTCTTAGGGACACTGTGCTCTTTTATTTTTTTGAAAGCCACATCCTATGGCTTCACCCAATTGTCTTTCCAGATGCAGTTGCACATGTATGAGGACATGCTGCTTACTAAAGATGCAAGTTTGCAAAAGGTAGGTCCTCTCCTCAAGGCTGGGGGCCTTCCAGGATTGGCTGGCTCTGTCCAAACCTGAAGGAAATGGTAACTTGCATAACTTGACCCTTATTCAAAGATCTGGTGCCATTAGCCTGGCATACAACGGTCCTTTATGCATTTGAGGGGGAAAGTTTTCCTGAGCAGAGAAACAGGTTGTCTTGTGTTTGGATAACTCTACTAAACTCTGAGTTCTGGTAGAGTTAGTCATTAGCTACTGCTGACGCTATTTTGGTTACAGCAATGCAAACCAGTGTGCAGCCCTTCACCTTAGGGATGGCGAAGAACACGGCCCCAATGATTTGCTACCCTATTTGGCTAATTGTTAGTTACAAAGGTAGAAACTTATCCTCACAACCTGTGACCATGGCCCCCTTGGTAACACATGGCTCTGGCTTTAGAAATGGAGCTGACAGTGGCTTCCAGAGACCCAGAGGGAACACCGTGTGAGTGAGTTGAACACTTGCAGTGGAAGACAGAGGAAGAGAGAACTGTTCTCCACTTTCCCCTCATACTAGAAATCTTCAGAGATGTGGAGCCCTCCTGGTCCTGGGGTACTGAGCACTGTACTGTCTCAGTCTCCGTGTTGAGAGTGTCCCTGGCTCTAGTGATGCTGTGACTATGGCCCCCTTGGCTCCCCCAGACCCTGCCTTTCTGCTATTCTGCACCCCTACTCTGCTTTCATTAGACAGTGACAGAGCATCTGCCTCACACCATTGGTTGTGGGACAACACTATGACCAGCCTCTCATTGCTCACACCTGCTGGTCTCTGTACCAAACAGTGGTGCAGTGGTGTGTGTGTGTGTGTGTGTGTGTGTGTGTGTGTGTGTGTGTGTAAATATAAATATTTAGACTGCCCCAGAACTCACAGATTTCAACCTCATCTACCCCCTAAGTGCTGGGATTAAAGGTGTGAACCACCATACCCAAGTTCCTCATATATTTTTAATCACAATGACTTGTTCAGCTGTCAAATTGTGAGGTTGATAAAAAGATCCCTTAGTTGGGTATCTCTAGTTCTACTGTGGTTCACACTTGCACTGTAATAAATATGGTTTACTGGGCCTATTGCTTGGGGGGGGGCTATTAATCCATTCTTCCTTCCAGAAGGATTTATGCATAGAAGAACTTGAGTCAACCATCATGGAATACAGAAGCATTCTAGAGGTATGATACAACCTCACAATGTGGGCTTGCTATCTGAGTTTTTCTCTAGTCTGATCTATCCAGACTAATGTGTACATGTGGTTCCAGAATTTACGAGAAGATAAGAACAACCTGGGCCAGGAGTTACAGCTCTTGCAGCACAAACTCATTGTGTGAGTAGAGAGACACTCCATGTTCCTTCTGAGCCTCCACTCCAGGTGGCTGGTCCGCTGCTCTACCAGCAGGGTTTCCTGTGCCTACCCCCATCACTGCCTTGCGTGTGGTGTTGCCTGTACCTTTCTCCACCAGGACTCTGTGAGAGTTTTCTACGGTCCCTCCTGTCTCACTTGGGTGGGGCCAATACAGCAAAACACCCAAGGGCTGGGTGTTTTCTTCCAGTGGTTCCAGAGCCTGGAAGTCTGAGGTCCAAGTGCCATCAGGGTTGGGTCCTAGTGCCGACTTCTGCATCCTCTATCTCAATATGGAGGACAGAGTGCAGGTAACTCTGTGGCCTCTTTCTAGAAGGGGCTGAGTCCGTTGATCTCATGAACCTTATCATCTAGAGTGAATCTCTGCCTGCACATGCCCTGGGTGTGAGCGTGGTGTACTGTCCTTCCCTCTTTCCTGACTACATACTCCTCTCAGGAAAATCAGTTCTTTTGTGTGAGAAGGAGTCATTTAGTAGTTCAGGACCCACAGGAGCTAGTGAAGCCATGGAATGTACACACACACACACACACACACACACACACACACACACACACACACACACCCCTGCAGCATACTTCTGTACTACAGTATACAGACAAGCATACTTCTCAGTCAGGAGCGGCAGGGCTGCTCAGCCAAGCTCCAGCTGGTTCTTATGTCAAGACTGCACACATGTACCCACAGCTCCTGATCTGGGGTGGGGCACTTGGGGGACAGAAATCTAGATTTCTGGTAGAATTTTCATTTCAAAGAAACATTCTTGGTTGTTTTAACTTATTCCAAATTTTCCTTCCTTCCTTCCTTCCTTCCTTCCTTCCTTCCTTCCTTCCTTCCTTCCTCCTCACTTCCTTTCTTTTTTCTTTCCTTCCTTTTTATTCCTCTTACCCCCTCTCATTTCTCCCTCCCTCCCTCCCTCCCTTCCTTCTATCTTTCTTTCTCCCTTCCAAGTGTGATAAGCTTGATTGTGGCTACACTAATCTGTAGCTCCTGCAGGGTAGAGATTGTCTCTTGCCTCTATACCATATGGGACTTTTTTGTTGATGGGTGAAGGATTTATTTTGTCACATAATTTAAAAGTTCAGTCCATGGTCCTTTGTTGGCTCTGGACTGGCAGCATCAGAATGTCATGGTGATGGGATTGTACAGTTGACACTGTGGCTGAAGTTACTCTCACCTCATGGTGGACCGGAAGCAGGTGGGTGAGGAAGAAGAAAGGAAAGAGTGGGAGAGAGAAAGGAGGAGGAGGACCATCAGGGAGGGAGGACAGGGAGTAGGGATACGAAATATTGGGACAGGAGTAGCACAATCTTTAAGGGCATGTCTACAGAGCTGCTCCGCAAGGTTGTCCTGAGAGGTTTTATAATTTCCCCAAAGAGCTTCAGCAGCTGGGGGCAAAGCATTCAGCACATGAGCTGTGGGGACACTCACTGATGCTTTGGTGATAAATGACACCTATTCTGGTGACCTCGGCCATGATGGAGTCACATCTCATGAGGCCCAACTGCAGTGTTTGTTTCTTTCAAGGAACGGGATCCAGGTGCATGACAAGGACATGGCTTCTGAAGGGGAGAAGTCTCTCTACCATGAGCTCACTCTTGCCCAGATTGCAGAGGTGAGGTTAATAACTAGGGGGGGTTCCTACATAAACCCCCACCCCCTGCCCCTGCAGACGTGGCTCACTGGTACAGGAGGAGGGAAAGTCTTACAACATAATCCCGTGTAGTCACAGCTCACTCTTACAGAGGGTCTGAACTTGGCTGAACAACACTCAGGACATTTGGAAGATGTTTCTTTTTTATTTATTTTATTTTATAATTTAATTTAATTTTATATATCAGCCACAGATTCCCTTGTTCTCCCCCCTTCCGCCCCCCTGCCTTCCCCCCGGCCACCCCCAAGATATTTCTTGATAGTTTTTTTTTAATAATTCAAGTTTAAATTCTCATAGACTGAGGGCAAGAATCATTTTTAATTTTCACTCAAAAGCTACAGCAAGTCTGAAGCTCCCGTGTCCAGTGTGTCCAGTGACCTGGGGTTTTGGAGAGGCCCACATTGGTGACTTTGTTCGGGCAGATGCCACCTTCCATGAGCTGTGCTTTACTTTTCATTGTTCTGGTTGTTTGCTGTGGGGTTTGGTTTGGTTTGAGACAGGGTCTTGTGTGTGTTAAGGGAGCCTCAAACTTGTGTAGCTGGGGATGACCTTGAACTCCTGATCCTGCGCCTCTGCCTGCACCCACTTCATGCAGTGTGGGGTCAAACCCAGGGCTTTGTGCGTGTGGGGGGTGGCAAGCCCTCTGCCAGCTGAGCAGCAGCTCGAGCCCTCTCGGGTTGTCTGTAGCTCTCAAAGTAAATGCGTTTACCCGGAGTGAAGACACTTGGAAATAACGTGATTGTAGTGACACTGCTTTTTATAACCTAACAGAAACTAGGATTTTTAATGTGTGAATAGTCGATCTGAAATGGCTAAATGAATGACTTTTTAAAATTTTGCAATTTGTTTGACTTTGTATTTTGACAGCCATTGTCTTTACAACAGGGCAAGAAACAAAAGACTTCTTAGGGATGAAAATGTTGCAACCCCACATTTTTATTCTTTGTGTTTTCTGCCTTTGTGCACAGTGCATTAGGGAATGTTTTGTTTAACTCGCTGGTCTCTGAGGTGGTTCCTTGATGTCTGTAGCTGAGGAAATGTCAGAATGTCTCCTGTAGGGGGCGACATTTTGGGAGCAAATGCTCCTGTCTGGTGTGTGAGAGTGACATATGCTACCTTTGAGGTTGTCTCGGGTGATCTGGACAGCCTGCTGAGGGCTGCGTTTCTGTGACTTTTGTTTCAAGCGTCATTTCACTATGTTTTGGAAATGGAGACAGAATGCAGGACTGAAGGAAGAAATGTCCTTGAGTCTTTATAACAGCCAGCAGTGTGTCTTGCGGTTTATGATCCGTGTAGATGGAGAAAGGGGAGCTGAGAGCAGGATGGGGAACATGCTTAGTGGACACTGAATGTGTCTGTCTGTGAATGAGGGGCAAACCCAGACACTCTCAGTGGGTGTGCTGAGCACCCACACACACCTGTTCCTCCTATGGACCAGAGTCACAAGTCATGTTTCGGGCACCCGTGTACTAATGTTACCTTTACAGGTGAATTTTCTTTTCTTTCTTTTTTGTTTTTTTAATTTCATGTGCATTAGTGTTTTGCCAGCATGGTTATCTGTGTGAGGGTGCCAGATTCCTTGGAACTAGAGTTACAGACAGTTGTGAGCTGCCATGTGGGTGCTGGGAATTGAACCCCAGTCCTCTGGAAGAGCAGTCAGTGCTCTTAACCTCTGAGCCACAAGAGAAAAAAATGTATATTTCGATGAAGCCACTTCAGAGAAGGGAATTCTGTGTTTCTGGGACCTTGTAAGCTTGATCAGGATTGTTTGGTGAGGACAGTGACATTAATCCCTGACTATGACTTTCAAAAATAAAAATAACCATCTTTATTAGAATGGTAATTGTTTCAGAGCCACAACACAGGCTGAACAGCTTTGCCATCTCAGGGCACCATGACAAACAAAGGAATGTGGCTTTGTTAAGAGTGCCTGAAGAGGAAGTAATGGAACGCCCAAAGTCAGTACCCAGTATGTGTATCATACTTCTGCTTAAGACTATCTGTAGATCACTCCCTAGGGTTTGCTGGCTGGATCCAAATGCATCCGAGTGCTGTTGAGACCCATGTGAATCCTACTGTGAGAAGAGAAAGCTTTCCTAGAACCTTCAAAAGCTGATCTCTTAGTTCTGGGTCGGTCTTGACTCACAGGCCCTTGGATAAGACTGCTGGAGTTGTCTTCTGTGGGTTGATAATCTTCGTATCACAGGACTCCAGACCTTCAGACGGGATATTGACTGGATAGTTTCCTTCCCTCATCCTTGTTTCTCAGTGATGGCCAGTCTCTCTTGCCCTGTGTCTGTGTCTGTCTGTGTCTGTGTCTCTCTCTCTCTCTCTCTCTCTCTCTCTCTCTCTCTCTCTCACACACACACACACACACACACACACACACACACACACACACAGTCACACTTGGTTTTTTGCTGGACATTCGAGATGGTTAGAGAAGTCAAACTATTGTCTTCATGCTTGTATTTCTAGTTTCTCTCAACAGAGCCTAGCCTGTGGTATTATGGCTCAGTAGGTAATGGACCCACTGAAGAAACACGAGGGCCTAAGCGGTCAGAGACAGGGCCATCAAGGGGCCTTGCTGGCCACCAGCATACAGTGAGAGACGCTGTCTCAAGAGATTCAGACAGAAAGCAGTAGAACAAGGCACTGATGTCCTCCTCTGGCCTCTGCATGTGCGCACAGGCATGTATCACCCCCACACACTTACATGTGTACCACATAGGTACAACATATACACAGATAAATAGGTAAAATAGATTTTAAAAATTGGATATGCTTGTTTTCTTAGATTTGAAAGGGGGTTTGGAATCAGTGAGATGTGAATGGAGGATAATTCTACGTTCCCTTAGCATATGTGGAATGACAGCATGTACATATGTAGAATGACAGCATGTACATATGTAGAATGACAGCATGTACATATGTAGAATGACAGCATGTACATATGTAGAATGACAGCATGTACATATGGCATCTCTGTCATCTCCGAAAGCAGCAGAACACTGGCAAAGGAGGACTTACCAGGAAGCGGTTCCGGGCTTTGTCAGGAAGAAAGCACACGTCAAGGTCCCGCTTTCATCTGTCCATCACCTCATTGTACCCCTCTTGGCTGCCAGGCTGCTTCCCACCACCCTCCAGTCGACAACTAGATTGAGCTCAAGAAAAATTAAGTTGTAGGATGCTATTTTCAATCCCTTTAACAATCTAGCTTTTTGGATTTGTTTTTATTGTTTATGTGTGTATGTGTATCTGTGTGTATATATGTGTACTACATGTGTGCCCATTCCTGCAGAGGTCAGAAGAGGGTGTCAGATCCTGGAGCTAGCATTAACAGGTGGTTGAGTAGCTAAGTGTAAGAACCATACTCTGGTTCTTCGGAAGAGCAGCAAGTACTCTTAACTGCCGAGCTGTTTCCATGATCCAGTCTGCTTTTTAAAAAGCTGCTTTGGGGTGTTATGAGCAGCAGGGAGTGGCTTAATTGTCACTTGGACCCACATTGTTCTAAAGCAGTTGAATGATTGTTGAGATGGCAAGAAACCTACTTATATGAAGAAAAAAATGAAACTTGATTTTGACCATCTTAAAGGCACTTTTAATACAACTTAATATTGAGTTGAGATGTTGAATAATACAATAATTTCTGGGCAGTTGCAAACTGGAACCTATTCAGTTATAATTTGGGGTCTAGTAGTAACCACCACTGAGATGAGAATGATTGGTCACGTGACATTTCCTCTTTTAATTATTTATATTTATTAGTGACTGCCACTGACATGAGAATGCATTGGTCACGCTACATTTCCTCCTTAATTGTTTATACTCAGCATCCAAGTGGTAGTTTATTTTGTGACTTTTTGTTTTGTTTCATTGTTTTTCAAGACAGGGTTTCTCTGTGTAGACTTGGCTGTCCTGGAACTCACTCTGTAGACCAGGTAGGCCTTGAACTCACAGAAATCCACCTGCCTCTGTCTCTCAAGTGCTGAGATTAAAGGCATGCACCACCACCGCTTGGCAACTTTTCTTGAAAGAACTTGAACATAGCATAGGATTTGATAATTCAGAACTGAGAAGTAGGTGTGAGATTGACTTATGTGCTCAGTACAAATGGTGAACTGCAAAATCACTGGGAACAAGTATATTAAATTGTTTTTTATAAGGAAGGAATCTGGAGTCATGAAATGTAGAAGTCATCCAGCAAGCAAGGACCTTGGAGAATCTTTAACAATGCCATCCTTTTACAAAGACTGAGAGATGGAGGTTAGTGGAGTGAATGGATGAGTTAGGAGTGAAAAGTTAGAACCTGGGGTGAGCTGTGTCCATATGTGCAAGGCATCGACCTGGGCTCTGGTCAGATTCGGTCCCATGAATGGCAGAGTGGGTAGAGGAGAGTAACACGGAACGACTTAGCCTCAATTCTGCCCACTACGTCAGCTAAATCTCATGCTAAACAAGGGCTGTGACTGCATCTCTTGTTGGCCACCATTTCTAGGTACTGAGCTTAATATCCAAGAAATGCTTTTCAGTGAGCAAAAAGAGTACAGGTGCATGCTGAAAAAGAAAAGAAAAAGATGCCGAAGAGACTAAGCTTAAAGAAAATAGGCATAATAGACTATTTTATTTCCTGAAATGGAAGGAAGCTAAATTCTCCAGAAATTAATAGTAGAAGTCTTGAGAAAATGACCTGCTTTCCCCCAGAGCAGGGAGCTCAGATTTCCCTGTGGTGGTGAAGGTGGAGGCTGCATGGATGAGCAGTCTCGTCCCACAGATACCATCGTCATGGAAGGCAGCAGCGGGTCCCTTTAGCCTAGTGCCACAGACTCCATGGAGAGAGGCTGGCACGTCGGTTGGGCATCCCTGAACAACTCTGGTTTCCTGCTAGACTCAGTAGCTCGGTTAGAAGACAGTTGGTGCCACTGTGAGATGCCGTTCCGCTGAGGTGTATGTACCTGGCA